ATGAACTTCGACACCCACTAAGAGGGCATTCCCCAATCCAGGCTTGCCAACTGGTGAAGCTACTGTCCAGAACAGAACTGCTTACTCTTTGACGTGTTCCAGGGATCGGCGAGGAGGCAGCGAGTATTGGTCACTGAGTTGTCAAATTGCACTGCGCGAAAGCTCTTGCTTCACTGACCGGTCCACTGGGCATCGTCCTGAGAGTGGGCGAGTGAGTGGCGCTGGCACGTCTTACGTGTTTCGCGCACTTCCAATCGCTAAAACCTGCGCTTCTGAAGTGGCGTTGATTTAATGCGCATTCACTGTGTAGAGACGAGTGCGTGTTGAGGAGGGGGATGCTGTTGCTGCTGCTGAGGCGATGGCACGCCGCGCTCACTCGTTCTTCCAGAATGGGCAGGAGAAAGCCTCAATCCCTCGCCCAGTGCACGCCACCCCATCCCTCCTCCTCACCGCCTGTCGATTTTCGCGGTCCCACAAACGACGACAGATGTTCTCACTTACTGCCTTCCATATTATCATACACATACACACAGTGACAGCGACGAATTCGTTCCGTTCCATTTTGAGTTGTCCCTTTCGGCCGGTTCTTCCTCGCTCTCACTTGCCTGAGGTCGCCGCGCAGTGAGACGGTCACGTTTAAACTTCCGAACACAGCACCCAATATTACTGGACAGATGAGACGTACGTAATGTGCCGTGATGTCTTTATTCAAGCTGATAGCGAAATTTGTGAACACAGTTATCCTCCTGATGATGGCGTTGCCGGCTCCGTTCCGCTGGCCTCAGCGACGATGATGCATGTGTTGACAGCGATAACAAATTTTTGCAGGTGGAGCTAGTTGTGGTGACCAGGAGTAGCAGCAGCAGTCCAGGCACCGCATGATACAATGGCGAGTAGCAGCAGCACCTCCGAAATCTCCTACCTCCAGGTGATGAAGCCTCGACTTCCGTACTGGGAAAGGTGGTGTCGTATAAGAGCCCTGGTCGCGCATTTCTGGATCAGTTACATAGCATTATTGAGATTCTGGATTCGTAGTTCCATTCCATCTTCACTCACAGTAATAATCCAACCTTGAACTGAAGATTATTTGAAGATGCGGTAGTCAAAAATGATCCTCCTTTCCACTGCGTAACAGAGATATCAGCTTCAAAGCTTTGTTTGCTTTCGGCCATAACATTAACCGGATTTTGGACTCGGGATTAGATTTTGTCCTAGAGAGGCTTAAAATTTGCTTCCAGGTATATGGCTCATTTCGTTCTTAAAGGCTTTGTCCTCACAGTTTCAATTTCATAGTTTTAAATAGTTTGTAAGTTATCCAGCCAGCATGCACACAAACATGTGCATCTCATACATACAAACACATATATACATATATATACGTACATATGTACATACATATATTCATGCGAATCTCGTTAATAAAGTCATTTTGATTTATGCATGGGTGCATACGCTTGCCTATTCTAGTATCAGGTGGTACATTTCAGGTGCAAAAGGGTATTGTTGCTGACCCGGCGCTTCAAGCGGAATGGTCGATGAAAAAGCTGGTGTGGGTGCCACACGAAACCGAAGGCTTTGTTGCCGGAAGCATCAAAGAGGATCGAGGAGATGACGCTGTTGTTGAGCTTGTCGATAGTGGCAAGGTATCCACACTTTCGACTTGCGGCTAATACATACTTGACTATGGATATGCCACGAAGCGTTATACATAAGAGGGATGTCTGCCAATAGTCCCTGTATCTGCACTCACTGAAGACACGCGTATGATTTTGGAATGATAAATGAAAGCAATGAGCTCCGGCATTATTGTGCTCACTCAAACAAAAAATTGGTCTGTATTTCAGCGACTGACATTAAGTAAGGATGATTTACAAAAGATGAATCCACCAAAATTCGATAAAGTGGAGGATATGGCCGAGCTGACATGCCTCAATGAAGCCTCAGTACTTCACAATCTTCGGGAGCGCTATTTTTCATCTTTAATTTATGTGAGTTGTTCTTTCTTTCTGCGTCGCAGCCTGGCTGGGTTGTGATTTTGCGCGCTGGTCCAGCATTCTTGGGGATGAAGTTGCCTTCAGTTTAATTCTTTCAAACGGTCTACGTGAAGAAGATACGACAGTAAAACAGTAGCGCGCTGTAAGTGTAACCTGATCCTCAGTTTTCAGACGTATTCCGGCTTATTTTGTGTTGTGATCAATCCTTACAAGAAACTTCCGATTTATTCCGAGACACTGATTGAGGCATTCAAAGGAAAGAAACGCCATGAAATGCCGCCGCACATCTTCGCAATTGCAGATACTGCGTATCGGTCAATGCTTCAAGGTCACATTTTCTTTAATACGAAGGAAGGGAACTACTCTTGTCTGCTTATCTCTCTGTCGAGCAACCGAGAGAAGCACAACTCGGCTCTTTATCAGTGCTTCTGTGCAGTAAGGGACTGAATCTGAGAAGGGGGTAATTCTGAATCTCATACGCACCAGCATGCTATTTTTTAGAAGCCACCGCCTAGATCACTTGCCTTGTTAGGAAGCTTCACGTTGTTTGGACTAACTCACTGTGGTCTTTTCAGAGCGCGAGGACCAGTCGATTCTTTGCACGTACGTTAGCTTTTCGTGTTTCTGAAAAACAGTATTGGTAACTTGGCGCGGCGATTTCACTGTGCGGTGATTTTCAGGGGAGAATCGGGCGCCGGAAAGACAGAAAATACCAAAAAAGTTATTCAGTATCTGGCTTATGTGGCTGGTGCAACCAGACAGAGCAAGATCACTTCTCCATCTAAGGTATACTCTCGTTCAGGAGAGAAGCCTTCAAATCACATTTCTACACTGTTTATGACACATCGGCTGCTGAATCCTCTAGAAGGTTGTTTTAAAACCTTCCTCAGTGATACTTGAATCCCTGTTGAGCGCGATTTTTTCAGCAACAGCAGCAGAAGCAGCATCATCATCACCATCTCGAAAATGTTATCGTAAGTTGCTCCTTCTCGTTTTGCTCCTAACTGCTTCAATAATTCTCTGAATTGCTGAATGGCACTGCAAGTCATTGGCGTGTGCATAAATTAAGTAAAGCGTCACGTTCACTGCGTCATATTTCGATTTTGTAAATTTTTCGAGGAGCTAATTTAACTCCCATACACTTCAGTTTGCATTTCTCCTCCCGGCCTCGTCTCTCAAAGCCAGTCTGGGCGAAGCAAACTTGGGAAGCTCCAAGCAACCAGGAATAGAAAGTTTAAATATAGACACAAAGAACGCTCATTCTATTCAATATTTTTTTTTTTCTGCGGTTGGTTCACTGTCGGGGAGTTAGTAATCACCATTAACTTCTGAGCAACGCTCGAAGATGGGCACCATCAGCAGTAGGCTTGCCAGTCACGTTGGCAGTGATAATGTGCTTGATGTTTAAAAATCTGAATGGAATGACAATCTCACGTCCTCGTATTCCATCAAACACACATCTACACTTTCATTTACTTTCGATGCAAAGATTACTAACATTTGTATTTTGTTACAGTCGTTACCATTTATAGTTCATCTATGTAAATCACTGTTGCACACGCTAAAATAATGATTGTTCTGGTCTGACAAACCCTTTTGTATCAGTTGACACGTGCTGCCACTCTGGCTAATCCCGAGCACTTGTGCTTCTCGTAGAGAATGATTACGAGGACGGGGAGGGGGAGGGGGAGATTTGATTTTAACTTCTGCTAATTTATGATAGATACTTGTAACCTAAGAAACCGTGGACAGTGAGTGCGGATTTATACTATCTTCATCTAGAACTTATTACTCAACACATTGGTGCTTCTGTACATTGCCGTTCGATGAGCATCTAATCATAGCACCTAGTCCCGTCTGCATATCCGTTCTAAGAGGAAAGCATTCAATGTAGTCCTCGCAAATGTTATAACCACTCTGCGATGGACCAGTCATCGTAGCAAACTCCAGTTCTGCATTCATTCTACAGCTGTCTGTTGTGTTGCGTACAAGGGATTCGTTTCTCCAACGAAAATATCGCTTGTCTCTCAGTGCAGAGGTGAGGGAAGGAGTTATGTTCATTTCCTTTATGCTGATGACGTTACACACGTGCAATAGCAGCGTCTGTTGACGTCGCTTGTCTTTCAGGGTGAGCTGGAACATCAGCTTC